TGGATTTTATGAAGAAGAATGTGATATCAGGATTGGAGAAAGACTCATTAATAACCTATAATATGCAGATGACACAGCCTTGCTTGCTGGAAGTGACAGGACTTAAATTTTTATTGATGAAGATCAAAGACCTCAGCCTTCAGTGTGGATTGCAGCTCACTGTAAAGAAAGCAGAAAGCCTCACAGCTAGACCATTTTATCATTATATATGGAGAAAAGACTGACGTTGTCAAAGACTTCATTTTGTTTGGATCCTCAGTCAGTGCTCGGCAGTCAAGAAATCGAATGATGTGTTGCATTGGGCAGATCGGTTGCAAAAGACCTTCTTTAAAAAAGGGTTACAAAGATGTCATTTTGAAGACCAAGATGCTCCTGACCCAAACCATGGTATTTTCAATTGCCTTGTACACATGTAAATGTTGGACAGTGAATAAGGAAAACTGCTGAAGAATCAATGCATCTGAATTATGATGTTGGTAAAGAATATTGAAAGTTCCTTGGACTGCCAGAGAACAAATGAATCTGTCTTGGAAAAAGTGCAGCCAGAATGCTCCTTAAAAGTGAGGATAATAAGACGTCATGTCTTGTACTTTGGGCATGTTGTGAGGAGGGACTAGTCCCCAGAGAAGAACGTCACGCTTGGTAAAGTGGAAGGTCAGCCAAAAAGAGGAAGACTCTCAACAAAATGGATTGACACAGTGGCAGCAACAATGGGCTCAAACTGCGGAACGATTGTGAGGCTAGCGCAGGACCAGACAGTGTTTCGTTCTGTTGTAGACAGGGTCACTGTGAGTCGGAACCAGGTCAAAAGCACCTTAGAACATAACAATCCAGTGGTAGCATTGAAGACTGGAGCTTGGGATATGGACTGTAAAAGTATAAAGTCAAAGCCGCTTCTAACATTTTTGGTATGATCAACCTATAGAAAGAGTTGCCATTAAACCATGATGGCAAAGACTGGCTAGAGAGTGTTAGCTGAGAATATAAAACATTCTCTAAGTGGAAGGTCTGTAGTTTCTCAGGGAGGAAGGATCGTGATCAGTCTGTGTCAGATCCATGGGTCAGGCCAAGCAAGACGAGGGCTGATCATTAACTACTAGATTTAGCAACATAGAGATCATGGGGGATCTTGGCAAGGCTGGTTTCCGTGAAATGGTCAGGGTGAAAGTCTGGGGTGGGTTTAAGAAAGAATGGGAGGAGAAGAATTGAAGACAGTATAGAAAGTGGTTTCATGGAGGAAGGAGAACAGAAAAATGGTGTGTTTACCACCTTTGAGTCGGTTCTGATTCATAACAACCCCGTGTAGGATTTCCAAGAAGCAGCTGGTGAGTTTGAACTCTTGACTTTGTGGTTCAAACTGACCTTGTGGTCCAGTGCTTTATCCTACAGCGCCATACCAATGTTTGTGTTTGCTTTTAACTGGGAGGGGTATATTTCTGTGCAGGTGGGAATGATCCTGTTGGTAAGAGATGAATTGGAGGTTTAAGAGAAAGGGAATGTAAGAGGGGAGAATCCTCTGGCACACAGGGGAGGAGTTGGCTTTATCTGGGTGCACCGACAACTACATAGATAACAGATACTGCACAGATGTGCATGTGGGAGCTTTTGGAAGTCCTTTTCAGTTTGTTTCCGTTATCCAGGGACATAGTAAGCAATGCCATTAGCTGAGTGTGAGTCCAGAGGAGGAGGGATGAGATCTTTATCTCAGAGAGTGGGAGACCGGCTGGATACAGAAATGTAGCATGAGGACCTCTCAACATGAAGGATCTACTTGAGGTTCATGGTCATGAATTTAATGTGAACGTTGCTGTATACAGGCATGCAAGAGGATACAGACATGCAAGAGGCAGAAAGCTCATTTTAGCTGTTGTTGTTGTTAAGTGCTGTTGAGTCAGTTCTGACTCATAGCCACCCTGTATAGGGTTTTCCAAGGAGCAGCTGGTGAGTTTGAACCACTAACCTTGCGGTCCAGTGCTGATCCCACAGGGCCACCCCTTAGGTGCCACAAAGCAAGAGAGGACAAGGTTGCTGAGGATGAGTATAGTTTAATGATTGTGGAGCAGTAAGTTGGGCAATGAAGGAAGGACATGATGAGGGTGGTGGCATTGTGAAGTGCCGTCAGATCATCAGTTCTACCTCATAGCCACCCTGTATACGGTTTCTGAGGAGCGCCTGGAGAGTTTGAACCACCAACCTTGAGAAAGTTGCGGGTATCAAAATAGAGATAAACAACTGAGACACAGAAGAGGTCAGAGGACTTCAAGGCCATGGTGCTGGAAGGATGAGCTACAAGAATTTTGAAATCACCAAGAATTAAGACAAGTGTAGCTGGACAGAGTGACCGTGAGCCAAATGCTGACCTCCTGACGGTATCACAGGGAGGGCCTGACTGGTCCTGTTAGCACGGAGCACGGAGAATGGAAGTGAGTGCTCTAAGGAGCAGGCTGCCTCAGCTGTAGGTTCTCCCAGATGCTCTCATTTGCGATCATCACAGAGCTATGGGCCAGCTGCATCAGTTTGCCATTGGAAGTCAGCGAGCCTGGATAGCGTTGGATTGTGTGAATTGTGTGGTGCAGTACTAGATCTTTGCTGACAAAGGGCTGAAGTCCAAAGAGCCTAGGATTCCACCTCAAATGAAAGGGAAAGAAGTCAGTCCTATTTAGCACAAGGTTTAACTTTATGATTTACGCTGAGGCTGTGAACGTTACTATCCAGCAGAGAATGGATAGCGAGGCTTGCTTCTGTGGGACGGAGAAGTAGGGATGTCCATCAGCACCGTTGGGCAGCACTGAGGACAGAAATCAGAACCTGGCTAATCAGTCTTTATGGCTTCATCCATGTTAGAGACATTCAAGGTTTTTATTACATTAGTTTCATAGTTTTCCCTTCTGGGCAAAATTTTTAAATTATATTTTCCGCTTGAATGTTAAGCCATATTATATGCTTTTATGTATAGATTTAAAAGAAAGAAAAAAGACCACACTAATTGTGACATTCTTTATAAAACTGTAAGACCAAAACCACACCATTGCCACCAAGTCGATTCTGACTCCCAGCACCCCTGTGTAGAGTTTCCAAGGCTGTAAATCTTTACAGGAGCAGAAAGCCTTGTCTTTCTCCCATGGAGCGGCTGGTGTGTTTGAACTGCCGGCCTTCGATCAGCAGTACAGTGCTTACCCTACACCACCACCAGGGCTCCTTTTAACAAACTATGTTGTTGTTAAGTGCCATTGAGTCAGTTCCAACTCAGAAACGTTGTATAGAGTTTCCGAGAAGCAGTTGGTGGGTTTGAACCTCTGACCTTGTAGTTAGCAATTCAGTGCTTATCGTTCAGTGCCATACCAGGACTTAGGAAAGTAAAAAAGAAGAAAACTAATCCAAAATGTCATTACACAAACACAGCTATTAACATTTTAGGGTACTTCTGCTACTCTTTTTTAAGACGTTTTCATTTTCTTGGTGTTTTAAATCATTCTGTATTTATAGTATTGTAGCCGACTTTTTGTACTTCACAGTTTAGTCAACATTTCCCCTGTGACCATGTTGTTGTTCAGGGCTATTGAATCGGTTTCAGCTCATAGAGAACCCTGTATAGAGTTTCTGAGGTTGTAAATCTGCAGGAGCAAGAAGCCTCGACTTTCTCCCACAGAGCAACTGGTGGACTTGAACCACCAAACTTAATGGTTTGCGGTCCAGTGTTTATCCTGTGGAACCACTGTGCTGTCCTGTGACCATGTTTTTGTTGTTGTTGTTAAGTGTATAGCAATCTTGGATAATGTTTCCAAGGAGCAGGTGGTGAGTTTGAACCACTGACCCTGTAACCTTGTGGTCTAGTGCTTTGTCCCCCAGCACCACCCCAGCACTCCTGTGACCATATCATATACTCCTTGAAAACTCATTTTCCATTAAGCTTTTTCCCTTAATTTTTCACTGTTACAAGCAATGCTGTATTGAATGTGAACAGATTTTTCTGCATTTAGGATTGCTTTCTTAGGATACATTTCTAGAAGTGTAGAAATACTTGGTCAAAGGTTAGTAATTTTAATATGTTTCATCTGTGAAAAGTTCCCAACCCAAGCCCATTGCCATGGAGTTGATTCCAACTCATAACTGTTGTGTTATTTCTACACAAATTCAGTCAGATGTGTGGCTCTGTATCTGAGTAACTGTTCTTCTGGAAGCTGATGTTTCTGTAAGAATTGAGCTAGTTGGCTCCTAGATGATTTTTAAATAGTTAATTTGTCCAGAGGTTTGGCAGAAGTTGGCTTCCAGCAGATTCCAAGAGGCGTTGAAGAGAGGCTACTGTTCAGGCTCCTCCTCCTGCCTCTATTGTAGGCTAACGCTGGTTCTTTGGGCAAAGAGAAGTTCTTCGTTTTTTTTCTTTCCTAATGAACTGTTATGAAGAGTAGAACTTGTTGCTGTATGTAGCATAGTGAACACATTTAAACAAGTTTAGACTGGTGCTGTAGGGTAAGAACTCATCCACAAGGTCAGTTTGAACTGCACAGTTGGTGGTTCGAGCTCACCAGCTTCTCCTAGGAAACCCTATTTCCTGCTCTGAGTCAGGATCGACTCGATGGCACTTAAACAACACCATGGTCTTTATTAACTTTTCTAATGTAATCTAGGGAGTCCTGGGGTGGTGCTGTGGGTTAATGCGTCAGACTGCAAAGTCGTTTGAACTGCAAGGTCAGTGGTTCAAGCTCACCAGCTGCTCCTCGGAAACCCTGTACAGGGTCGCTATGGGTCAGAACTGACTTGATGGCACTTAACAACAACAACAACAAATGTAATCTAATTTACCCCATTTCTAAGAATGTTTGTTTTCATTTTAAGGTATTTGTAACTAACCAGACTTGTGATGGAAGAGTTCTGTCCTCATTCGGTGTTTAAGTTTTTATTTCTAGAATAGGTTCTTAGAGGTTTGTGCTTGTAAATTTCAGATGCAAGACAGCTCTGTACCCACTAACAAAACTGCCCTGACTGGTGTTTTATTTTAGGTTCAAAGACACTATTATCAATGCCAAGTATGGAGGGCACACAGAGGCCGTGCGCCGGCTGCTGGGCCAGCTCCCCATCAGTGCCCAATCGTACAGCGGGAGTCCCTACCTGGATTTGTCTCTCTTCAGCTACGATGACAAGTGGGTGTCAGTCATGGAGCGGCCCAAGACTTGCGGAGACCACCCCATCAGGTACACAGTTTCAGTGCCCGTGATGTCAGGGCTGCATGTGACCAGGTTTCCCTTCGTCTGTTTCCCAGACACCATTTCACTGTGGCTCGTTTGGGTGGGATTGAAAGGCAGGCAATTTCTGTGACGTGGTGGGTGCTTTGACCATTTAGGGACCAATCTCTAAGGTAACTAGTTCTACTTTTGCTTTTCATCAAAGCATCCAATTCAAGTAAGGATCCAGTTCTTTAAAGGTCTCCAGGGAAGGAAAGAGTACTCTCCCACCGAATAATCTATCATTCCATAATAGTTTTGTGACTGAGATTTTATTATGTCTAACTTACATTATTTTATTCCCTCAATTACCTTGTAGAAAAGATATAACAGACAGTTTGGGAAATAATCAGGTTTAAGAGGGACTCTTGCTTGCTCACTTTGAGGAATTTTGGACTATAAATCACTGTGTCATTACTGGAACCTTGAAATGAATGTCTTAAAGCAAGTCCTCCCTTGTTGTTAAGTGCTGTCAAGTTAGTTCCGACCCATAGCAACTCTATAGGATTTCCAAGGAACGGCTGGTGACCTTGAACCACGGACCTTGCGATCCAAGCCGACTTTGTAGTCTAGCGCAAACCCACGGCACCACCCCAGGACTCCCTCCCTTGGAAATACACCTCTCATAGACCCACGTGGCCCTGCCAGGTCTGGAGCCTGTGTAGTCCCTGCCCTGTGGTGGGTACAAGGGGGAGGACGTGGTACCACTGCTGCTAGTGGGATTGCTCCCGGGGAGACACTTTCCTGGAACTGACCCGGACCTAGGAAGGTTTTGTCCCATAGTAGCCGTAGTTCATAATCCAGCTTCAGTGGGTATTAGTGGGGCTGTGTCATGTTCTTTTATGTTGTATCACCATTCAGAAGACTGTCCTTGGGAAATTGCAGTCAAGTTCCAAACACCAATTTTAAAAAAATACGGAGTATTCTATTAGGAAACTTTTAATCATATATAAAAAGTATTATGAATGCCCTCATACCTGTCCCCCAACGTCAGCAGTGTCGATGTGTTTACAGTCTTGTTTCATCTAGATCATCGCCACCATCCCCCACTCCCTGGTGATTTTGAAGCTGATCCTAGGTATGGTATGAAATGTAAATACCATTTATTCCTTGAGATGTTAACAAAACTTTAGTCGTTCAGAAAAACAGTCATCGTGCAGTGACCCGTGCGGGCTGGAGGTCAGCGGGCCTCCCTTTCTTCAGGTCCCGTGGCTTTGCTGCCTTTGACAGGGGACACGGGTTTCACTGTACCCTTAAATGGCCAGTGTCCATGCTTTCTGCCTTTGACAAGGGGACACGGGTTTCAGTGTACCCTTAAATGGCCAGTGTCCATGCTTTCTGCCTTTGACAGGGGACACGGGTTTCAGTGTACCCTTAAATGGCCAGTGTCCATGCTTTCTGCCTTTGACAAGGGG